CAACTATACAGAACCTTGCTTGATGACAGATTTCTGACTAATTTGAAAGTACATAAACAGTTTGAAGTTCACACTATTAACCTGGAGGTTTATTTATGAGCAGGCAAGCAACCACAAGAATTCAGTTCCTTAAACAGGCAGTGAGACAGAAAATCTACTCTGACTGACCCACAAGTTCCCTACCCAAATAAACAGCCATAGGTACTGGTGAGACCACACAGTCAGTCACCAGTATTCATTCTGTCATTTTAATGATGTTTATCTTGAAGGAGAGAGGAATTATTTAAAATGCTCTTAACAGCACAGGACACAAAATCCTGCAAAGATACAGCACAGCAAATAAAGTAAGATGCAGCTACTGTCCAGAAAGAATGCAGACCCGTGAAAAGCTACCTCATTCAAAAACACACTTTTTGTTTTCTTTTGGTTTGTTTTAATTTATTTCCAAGCATTTGGAGTAATGCTCTCAATCATCTTTTTCAAATACTGCAAAATCTCAGCTGTAGAAGTCAAGTTTCTAATTAATAGTGWGTTACAGTTAATTGGACTGCTCTAAAAGTCACCCATTTAAAATGTCAGTCAACACAACTGAACCAGCTTGGCTTGGCAATGACAGGAGATGAATTGTGTTTGTAGGTGAAAACTACTGCCTGGATTTCATTCTGCAATCCTTGCTGGTTTCCTACCCCAGCTGCACTTTTCTTACACAGGAATATGGAAACTGTTGAATGTTTAAAGCTGYACTTGCTGAAGTCTGCTCTGATAATATTAAAAATACTCAAGACCTATAGTAGTTTCCAGTGGCTTTGCTTAATCCTAATGTTCTTTTCAGCAGATAGAGATAGTGTTTAGTTCCAGTAGCTGACTTATTTATTTTGCCTAAAATGCCCACTGAAGATGAATCTGGCATCTCCTATGACATCAAGGAAAGAAAATGAGGCTCTAACATATGGAAAATGTCCACAATTTTACCCTTTAAAAATACCGAGGGGATTCTTATAGAGTGTTTACAGAGTTTGAAATKATTTACCTGTCCATCCTATTAGTAAAAGGAACCACAAATCATATATTTTCAACTATATGCTACTGTCAAACATGTCTTTGAGTAAAGGTCTTATCACTACAGCTCTTGGTATGGAGCCAAACACTGAAACACATTGCTTAAACTTAYATTTTCTTGAAAGTTCTTAATGCTTTGTATTACATTCCAATAACAGCAATAGAAATCTAAGACAATTACTTTCTATAAAATAAATATACATTTTTGGCAAAAACAAATAATTTGCTGAAATCCAAAAGAGTCCAGAGCATTACACTGTGCAACAAAAAAAATATCTGTTTGCATTTACATCTCTTCACTTTTCCTTCTACACTTGCTCCAAAGAGACACTTACTAAAGGAACAGTGAATTGTGAATTAKGAATTATTATWGCTACTTCTGAATCATCATTAGTYTAGCAGYAGGTCAGAAGAAGAAAAAACTAAAYCTGGAGAGGCTGCAAACTCTGATTTAATGACTGTAAAGGTGCACTTTGTTATTGAATTATTTTTCATAAACCATTCAGTGTCTTAATATTGAATGTTACCTGTTAAGTGAAAGACAACTGCATGAAAGTGTTCTTTGCTCTTTAGAATTAAGTTTTTATCAACATCCTAAGAAAAGAACAAACATTTTTTTTTTTTTTTACTTTTTGTGGGAGGTAGAGAGGGGATATTTATATATATATATATATATATGTATGCACTTGGGGAAATTTGACTGAAGTAATTGCAGAAACCTATGTGGAAACACAGCTCAAAAGCAGATTTTAGTCCATTATCCTGCAATCTTAAATCTCAAGAAGCAGAAGCAAATTGAAAATTAAACAGTTGAACTATAGGATCACAGGTGCATTGTAAGAGCCAAATACTTGAGTAGCATTCATCCATCAAACAGAATATAACACCTCTATGGCTCATGCACCAAACACCATAAAAACTCAGAATAAACTGATTCTACAAGGAAGATAATTAATTGAAATCAAATAAATCAAGCATTTGGAATAATAAAATTATCTTTGTCATCACAAGCAGATAAAATATTAGAATTCTAAGTGCATTATATTGCATGAATTCATGAATTGAATTGAATCTGCCATTTGTTTTWAAAAATCTAAACCAAACAGTTTATCAAGGAGACAAACATACTGGATGAATAAAATTTTTTTTTTTAAATCCTGAAGAGAGACATGCAAATAGAAAAATTTGAGAGATTCACATGTTCCATTTTCATTGGTGAAAAGCATTTGAACAATCATGTGTTTGGCTCTGTGAAASCTACCTAAATCCAAAATTAAGTTCTATTATAAATGATCTTGTAAGAACTAGCCTTTGGCTTTCTAAACACTTCCCTGTRTGGCATTTTCCAATACCTGACTATTTTTGAAGACATGCATCAATATTTTAAAATGCTTAAAAAAAAAATTAATCTCTGTCAACAAGCATTTGTCCCCATTTAAGAAACATCAAAATCAGCTTGTTCACTGGCTCASAAAATTAAGACAAAAGAATCTCTATTAACCTCCCCCTGCAAGAGGAGARGGGAGGATGAAAATTTTTTTTACTGTTCCCACAGTGAGGAAAAACATTACTTTTTGGAAGACAGACCTTTGAACTTCTTGAAGAAAATAAATTTTGATCTTATCACTTTATCAGCTTTGCAAGTTCCCCTTACATCCATTTTGCCATAGATTTCATGTAGTTAATGCAACCATTACTTCATTATTCACTGTTTCACAGACCATCACATAATTTATAGCTTTTCTTCTCTAATACCAAAAATATATTCAGACAAAAATGAAAAGTTCTCTTTTAGACTTAGCACTATTAGGCATATMAATGTTCCAAACTGAGAGGGTTAATTATAGTTTTAGCTTTTTCTTCTTTTCTACTTGCCCAGAAGCTGATGTTAAATTTTACATACTAAATGTGTAATTGAGCTTAGAAAATGGAAAGTTAGATGATTTGATATAAATTTATATGGATGTAAAAAGAAAATATAATAAAAATGAAGAGATTTCGTTCTGAAACCAAGTGYTTGAATAATAAAAAATAACTAACCAGAGGCTTAGGGCAGTTCTAGTGAACCCTGAGAAGAAATGAACTTCCTACAATGTTATTTCACCATATTTATGGAAAACTCTTTTAAAATTAAAACTGGACTTACTTCTTTGACAATAGTGTATAGCAGGATATTTGCCTCATAGCCTCTAATGTGCTAATAAAAATTATTTAAATGGCAGCGATTGAACCAGTAACATAAAATATACATGAAAGAACTAATAATAGCTTTTTTTATTCACCACTTTCTAGATTTTGATAAAAGGCAGTATAGTTGTATGCATTTGTTACAAATAACTACGTTCTCAGATCTTATTTGCACCTGACTTCAAAAATATAATTGGAGAAAATTTGATTTTAAGCAAAGTGTTCCAATATTCTAAACTACTCGCTTGCAAAGACTTTGCCCAGTGTTTTAGGGTGTCAGATGAAAAAGAAAATTAGGTAAGTGTGATGGCAAATGTTTTGCTCTTAGCAAGGCACAAATGTGTGAGAGTTTCTTTTAGCAAGAAGTTCTGATAAAATGTTGACCAAGGTGACATGTGAATGTCTTAGAAGAGAAGGCAGAGATGATAAGAGTTTGCATTCTTACAAGCAATGATTGGCCAGCCTGTGTGTCAGATTGCTGCCTGGGAGAGCTACACCAAGATGTACTGTGATAAGCTCTATGATATTTAGATTTATCAATGACAAATTGTGAATAATGCACCTACCTGATGAGAATACCAAGAGCAATATTTCAGCATTTCACTGTATATAAATGATAACTTACTGTTCAGAGGCAGCTAGAAACACACACATAATTTTTCTTTTTCATCTTCCCTCACGCAGTCCCAAACCACTTGATAACTCTTTTGCTACAGGTTATGGATTCAGGCTGTACATTTCCTAAATTATTATGCAGTACTWCCCACCACAAAACATGCACCTCAGTGACATTTTAGTGCAAATATGACATGTATCTAGATAATAAACAATGAAGAAAAATGCATTTCCATAATAATGTTCAGATTTGCTGCAGCTAAAGATTTGATGASTCTGTTTACTTCACAGCTCTGGTGAAGTACTGGGATCTTTACACACTGCACAAGAAAATATATAAATGTCAAAAAAAGGTTGCTGCACTTTAATAAACACTAAATATACAAGCTAAGAAAATTACAATAAGAGTTAAATTCCCAGTCAAAAACAACTGCTGCATTTTTGCACTGAATCTTGGTCTCCTGACTACTGCCCTAATTCCTTAATAGAAACTTGGAACTTTTCTTAATATTAATAGAAGTGTAGCACTGAAGTTCCATAACATCCTATCAGGTTTTACTTGGGTAACTAAATAATAATTGAAGTGCTCAGATCCTGTTTGAGTTTGAAAATTACAACCACTCATTTTACCTATTTTCAGTAGGGATTCCTACAATTAGGTAGTGATAAAGTAAAATTTAGAAAAACACTTTGATTCATTGTCACTTACCAGTTTCTAAAATTCACAGCTTATTTCTGCTAAACTTCCAGTATTTTACAAAAAGAGATGATTTCAAGGTAAAGAAAGTAATTATTATCCTCATACAGCCAGTTGAGGTACTCTATTACAGAACAACAGATCAGCCAAAAGCGAGTGTTTGTGTCTGGTCTGAAGAAAAAATGTCCACATTGCTGTTCACAGCAGTTCATGCAAATAGAAGTAAAATGAAGAACATTTTTGTAAAAGCAGACCAAAATTTTCTAGTTCTGAGAAAGTTGCAGAAAAGAGAAAGTGAAGTTTTTGTTCCACGGAAACAAACCTCAAAGAAAGATATTCAAGGCAAAACTATATCCACCTGTAGAGAGGCAAAATGTGTTATAAGAAATGCAGAAGTGTTATTTTTGTAATGAAGCACCTATTTTGTGTCATATAATCTTACCTTTCTCTGTTAAATTTCAGAGAATGTAGAATAGCTGGTCTTTTCTGTCGGAGATTCCACAAATGAAGTGCATCATCTGCACAWGCACTGACCAAAGCACCCTAGAGCAGACACAAAATGCAGCAACACGTTATTTTTCTGCAGATTCTTATTGATCCTTTATGAAAAACTGTTCTTTTCTTCTAGGAGAAAACCCCAACTCTACCATAAATAACACACAATATGAATTAATCTGGTAAATGTAGCTATTTTAAATTAGTACAAGATCAGCTGAAATTAAATTAAAACTGGTCACCTAAWGAAAAGAGAATACTGATTCAAATCTTGGCCTTCCCATTCTCATCCCTGCATTCCTCTCTAAAGAATTTCTCCAGATTGTGCTAAAGTTTCAATCCTCCCTCTTAGTTTCTGTCATTCAGCTACTTTCTCCAAATAGATGTAGGAAAAAAATCAAATATTTTTCAGCTTTAAAAACCCCATMAAACTAAAGTTCTTCCCCTGAGAAGTTCTAAGATCTCCACATTTAGAAAAAGGACTTGAAATGGTCAAAAATGTTTCCTTCTGTCMTGGGACAAAATTAATCAAAGATGAACGAAGATCTGGCCAACTTATAAAAAAAAGTCTGATTTGTATTTTCCAKAAAGTCATCTTGCCTATTCCCATCTTCAGAATATTATGCCCAGAGTAAGCTATAATCTGGCACTGTTTATTGATATTGTCTAAACTTGATTTTGACAAACCATTTACAAAGRCTAAGCATGATGGTTTGATTGATGAGCCCTGCAATCACTTTTCCTTGCTTCAAGTAATAGCATCTTCCCAACTACTGAGTTTTCAGCCAATTAACCATCAATACATTTATATAGAAAGATTTATCTCATTTATTAATTTCTATTTCAATCAGGACTGTGCAGCATATTTAGTAACTTAATGGATTTTACATCTGCTCACACACATTCATATATTGACTGCCTTTTGTTCAGTACTTTAAACTGAAGTATAGGAAGGCAATACTTTTCCCAGAGTGCAGTCCCATAAATATTCTTCTAAAAGCCTCTGAACGTCCTCTGGATGTACACCACTTACTTGTTGGCACAATTTGTCAATGTGAGAAGTTATATCACTCAATTACAGTAACATGAATTGACTTATTCAACTAAATTTATACAGAAGAATCTGAGTAAATATGTCCTTACCTCATTGATTAAGAACTGGAGCTGCAGAACTGCAGCACCACTTTCATGTTGGCAGTAGCAATCAACACCAGGCCTGCCCAATCTGTTGCCATCAAAGTCAAGGATTCTAACATTCCTGTTATCACCAGAAGTAAGAGGGAAAGAAAGAGCTACCAATTAAACTCTAATTAACCTTTAATTAACCTCTATTCTTCTTGCTTTCTGTAAAACAAAAGAATTCATGCTGACTTTCCACTATTCTAATTAAAGTACCAACAGTGATCTGTTCTTGCCTGGTTGTTTTTTTTCTTTCCTGTGAAACAAAGTACMTGAATTAACACATAAATTCAGCAGGACACATCTTAAAATTTATATTTATACATTATTGATTTGGGTAACACATGAACAATGTATCAGATTTTTGCACAATATGGTCTTASCAAGGCCAGATATATAATGAATGTAGCTTTTTATCTGTTCTCTTCAGGTTTTTGTTTTTTTTTCTGTGCATGTTAAATTGTCATCTCCCTAACTTGGAAGATGATGGTCTTTCCTATCGGAGCCACAGACTTCAACAAGAAACCGTTGTTCCAGAAAATTAGGAATATCAAAAGTAAAGCAAAATGAGAAATATGAAATAAATTATTAGCAACCATATTGTGTGAAACTTATGAAACACCTTCACATAATAAAAACATCAGTATTATGATCAGAAAAAGGATTTTACAACAGATGATCATATTAGAATATTGTAAAACCCTGAACAAAAGAAAAGCCAACTGTCCACTTATTTTACCTGCAGGTAAATGTCAGAATCTTTATTTCCCCTTTCACAGGAGAAGAGATGTGCAGTAAACCATTCTARCATTTGTCTTCAAGGAGTACAATCCATAAATTAGCAAATTTGAGGTTTAAAAGTTCAAAAGATGCAGCAATTACTTTCCCAACTGTTAAACAAGCAGTTAAATAGATMCCACTGACCTTGAGGAATCTGAACTCTACTTTTCATTTTKCCARCTGGTCTAGTGGATAACCTTAGGGAAAAAAAGTATCTTYTCTTACCTGAACCTTMATTTCTCTATTTGTAAACTGGAGGTARTTTTATAAAATTGGTATTTATAGATGAAAAATTGTATATAAAACACCATATCTACATTAGAGAGCAAAAAAGGAGAGAAAAAAAGTAACTCCATTTGCTGCTTCTCCCAACCTGTAGTCATGGATACAATCATAACTGATAAAATAATAAAAACCTGCATCTTTTAAATAACCTATTCAAAAGGGAAAATAAAGATGTACTGCAGCCTAAGGCACCTTTTAAGGGCTGATGGTAATCCTCCTGTCCAYTCTGAATAACTCTTTTTTAACATTTAACAACCACTTCTTGTAACTTGAGAGAAAGTACCAAAACCAACCAGGCAAGTAACCAACCCCCCTGGGATTTCAAGCTAACTGGAACTTTTAACAGATAAGTGCTTTCCTTTTAACCAGAGTTTAATACTCAGTAAAAATACATGGCATATTTAATGATTGTCCTTAATGAAAATTCCAGTGGCATTGCCCTGATTAAGTGGCTGTCACCCATCATGCTCAGTTTTCTAGGAAGCATGMTAACAAATTTGATTTCACTCAGCAYATCCCAAACAAACAAAGCACTCTCCAAAAATTCACATTTATAYGCATCAGTGTTCACCCTGAAATACAAATTACTAAAATACTCCCAAATTACTAAAATAAGGGAGAAATTGTGCTGTCTGCTTCTTTCTGGCCAGTTGCCCTGAAGTGAGGAGTGACACTTAAATAGCAGCATTAGCTATTGGTGCTTTTCAAACATTCTGGGAGCTGCAGCGAGGTCCTTCCAGCAGAAGGAGCTGAAGAGATATGATGACTTGGCACATGTTCTTGGCACTTGAGCCCATCTTCTGCAAATTCTGGGTTTTGCTGCCAAGCATGGAGCAGTACAACCTTACCTCATCAAATCTTTTCATGGCAGTGTATTCCAACAAGACATACAGCAGAATAAGTACCTACAGTTCAGGCTTTGGACTGACTTTATTCTTTTTACTTTCACCTTTTGATTAAATGATGACTGCTATCAGGGAGAATAGGATATCTCTTAGCATACTAAAAGGGGAGACTAACACATCTGAATTCCTCAAAGTAGACACCAYAGGTTTCAAGAACAAAAACTAGTCACTATCTTCTCTCTTATCACTATGTTGGATCTCCCAGGGGCCCTCAAAGCCATGGCAGATTATCCTAATTTATACATAAAAGGGAAAAAGATGAAAACTAAGTCTGGRTGTCTTTTGGGATCTAGAATGAAGCAAGTAGAATTAGAATTATGTGCATCAAGCAGTGAAAKTATGACAGTAATAACATTCTAAAAGAAAAGTGATCTTTCTGAAAACTACATTTAATCCTGGCTTTAAATTCTGTGCAAGTGAAATAGGATTTTTTGCTCCTCATTCACTTGTATGCAATACTTCTTCACTGAGTATTTCAACATCCTGATATTCCAAAGCTTATTATTATTTGGGGAAAAAAAATGTTGCTAAGATGACTAATTTTAAGTACTTGGATTCATCTTCAAAGATGCAAGACTTCCATGACAGTATAATACATYAGTAACCAAGAATTTACACTCATGTTCTGGGAATCAAAGTTGCCAGTTAATGAATACATTCATGATGAGAGTGACAATGACCAAAATCTTTTCACAGCATGATCTGTGACCACTTTCCACAATACCTCTACAGCTTTTTTATTCCATGACTCATTTTTACTATGTGATACACGCAGATCTGATGTATCTCATTCTTCTCAGAGGTTAGCACCAATGGAATCCAAAGACTTTGCAAGTCTTGGGTGTTCACTGAGAACCAAAAGTGCAGATACTTCAGAAGAGACTCCTGGAGCTGAGGCCAGTGTTACTTGCAGCARCTATTTACATTCTTAGGACAAGAAGGTGCTGAGGTTACTAAGACATGTTTTTCTTCATCAAGACAGTGATTCTTTAACAGCATGAGATTAAATCTTTTGGCAATTAAAAGGACTGCAATCTGATTATTCCTCTTTCTAAGGGCAAGGAAGAGAAGAAATGRTGCCATAAAGAACCTCCTTCCAAGGCATGCCAAAGCAGTTAGCAGATATCCCCTGTCAAGTCCAAACTCCTGAATTACATATGATGCCTTTTTTAAAACCAAAACTCTCCTTAGAAGAAAATAATACCAGTGTAACCAAAACTCTCCTGTAGAAGGAAATGACACCAGTGTACACAAGCAGCTCTAACATTTTGAGCACTTACCTAACTTCTTCCATGACTAAAAGCAATCTATGTACCAAAATGAATGCTAAAGCAAGGGGTTATAGCTATTAAGCAGAAACCATGGTCTCACATCTTATTAAATGGTATCTCACCATTTTATTAAAAGACACATATAGAAATGGGAAATCTCTATTTATAGCCTCTCCTTTWAAATATTTGGGAATTGTAGGGTGCTGCAGAAGTAGCATTGCTGCCTGGAGTCCTTGTCATCTGATCTGCACTGACTGGTACATCTTTGAGTAGGACTATCCAGCACCCTAAGAGCAGATGCTTGTGGGCTGGTGTTACTCCATTACATAAACCAACTGCAAACTGACTTTGGGTGTAACTTGAATATAGGACAACTTTTTCTTGCGGAAGACTTTTTCCACTGGATTGAGTGAATTATCAGTTAAAAAGGACCAATGTACTTTATCTAAACAATCAAGTATTAGAATGACCAAAGAATTCAACCACACCATTAGCCAACCACTAACCAGGTCAGTCAGCTGTATCTGTGTCACAGGGCAGAGCTTGTCAAAAGGTAACAATTATGGAAACATCACCTTTAGCACCTAGATTTGCAATTCTCAACATAGCTACTTTCAGTTCCTGAAATACATATTTTTACAGTTCCTTCATGGAGTTTCTCCAAGTCTCACATGCATTAATCTTCTGTCTAAGGACAGTGCATATTCTGGTACAAATAAATGCCACAGTCCTAAGTCCTACATAAACRCCTAAGTCCTAAGCACAAACTGGAGTTCAAACTGGTTTTTTTTCCTCTCTTTAMATGAGATATTCTACATTTTGACTTCTAAAGCATATTGCTCCAGTGCTTTGTTATCCTCACTGTTAAGAATGTCATGCTATATGCAGCATCAATACATTTAGATTTWGTTTCAGGCCTTTGCATCTCATCATGCATTTTTATGCTAAATTAAAACAACTTCATATTACCAGAAATTTCCTGCTTTGAAACTTTACCAAGCTGTATGTTATCCATATATCATATTCACAAATAAAAGCAAAATACTCTGAGCTCCTTTACTTTCATGTCACCAGCAATTTTCTTAGTTTTGAATAGTTCCTGTGTATTTTTACACATGGTCTAGAATGTGTGCTCAACTCAGTTCAAGTATCAAAACTAAAGCTACACATCATCTTGCTAATGTGTTCTTTAATACAATGGAAACAAAGATATATGGGATTTTATAATTTCTCTTATTAAATATAGTTTTTAAATACGTGTGTGCACCACCTCTTTATTATAACGACAAATTGGGAAATCATATTGGTTTTGGTTTTTGAGACTTCTCCATTGCTCTTCAAAAAATAAATGCGCCCTACAAAGCTCCACTCTGTCAGCTGCATGTAATTGAGTTCACTGAATTCCTTACAAAGGACACACAGCCCATTCCCAACTTTATGGCCTTCTATCTGCTGTAGATTCACTGCTTCATTAAACAGTATCTTAGTGGCTTCTGTTTTGAACACAGATTCAATTTTACAATGAGCTTCATTATGTTTTGAGTTCATTCAGCTGGTTAAATAAATAGCTTTTTTTTTCTTTTTTCTACTATGAAAAGGTGAAATACTGCTGCACTTGGCTGCTATTTTAGGATGCTATGTGTGAAATATTTTATAAATGCAAACTTCTTTGGCAGCAATAAACATGAGWATTTGGTCTACAATGACCTTCATCTTGTTTATTTTTCTTGACATAGATATCTCTGCTCATGCAACCAAATTATGTAAGASTTAATCTAAGGAACAGTTAACTACTCACTATGATC